GACTGAATATGTTTATAATAGTTTTTATATGTAAGGTAAACAGATGAGGAATCGTTGACTTAAGAAAGGTTTTGTCTTGATGTTGAGTCAGTTCGTATAGTTATTTCTATGAGTTCACATGCTCTGCTTTCCACGCTGTGTTCGATATAATAAATATATTGAATATCGATAACTAACAAGTTCTTTTTATTTCTTAGTCCATTTCCCAATAGGTTATGGGACCAGTGTACGTGTATTCATTGCGATTGTGAAAACCGGGAGTGTTTAATGTGACAATGTAAAATTTGAAACTAAAAAGAAACAAAAGGCTTCATGCTAACAGAGCTTGAACTTAGATAAGAACACCAGAGCTCAGCAATTTAGAAATAATTATCGTTGAGGATATTTTAAAATCGATTTTAAAAGACGCAATTTTGAAAAAAAAAATCAAGTCTCTGAAACACAATAAAAAAAGTGGAACAAAACAATTCCATCAATAAAAAAAAAATAAAAAAAAATGGAACCCTTATAACAGCAACCAAAAAGGGCACAATTAGTATTCCCAGTAATATGGGCATACAGGAAAGTCTTTGGTATAGGCTGGGCTTGTCCAGAGGTTACTTACAATTTGGTGTCCGTAAGAAAAATTACTATTGCTTAAAAAAAAAAGTGCTAATATTTACAAAGGCGGTAAGCTTATAATTTATGGGTAAGTCTTTGAACACTTTAATAATAATTGCTCTTGAACTCACTGTTATTGGAAATTTAAAAAAAAAAAAACACTATTATTCAGCAAATAGTGACGATTAAATAAAAATAAAAATTATCAATGGTGGTTTGAACGTTTGGTCCACATTAGTGAGGTTTAAATTATTAAATTATCATAAGAAAAAAAAAAATAAAAAATAGAGATCGAGGACTTAGGGCGCAAATCGATCAGGTTATACAATGAGTATTTATGTGGAGCGTGCATAAACAAGCGCGACTTCCATTTCAAAAACATTGTACTGTTTGTGCATGAATTTACTTACTATTGTGTAATATATTTGATGAGTCATAAGTCATATGTATTTTGTATGTTTCAAGAGTCAGTTGCTGAAAGTGGGGTACATTTCAATTTACAGATTTTCAATGTTTTCTGTGACAATGAAGGTGAATATCTAGCTACTGAAATGAGAGATTTTTGGTAAGCAAAAAGATAAGTCATCATTTGACAATTACATGAACCCCACAAATTAAATGATGCAGATATATAAAAAAAAAAAAAAAATTGGAGGCAGTTTTAACTGCAACATTCTCACTTAGTTTGACCCCTACTAAAACTTTAAAAAATTTGAAACACCATACGAAATTTGGCGTAGTAAAAAGCCTCAAGTAAAATATTCATGAGTGTTTGGTTCCATAATACCGTTTATAGGTACCTACATAAAAACCAGGAAAACAAAATTTGATATCAAATCCTGGAAAGCTGTACTGGTTGGTTATGAACCAAATGAATATGAAGTGTGGGATGTGGTTAGTCATAAGTTTGTTGTAGTCAAGGATATTATTGTAGATATGACAAATTTGTTTTTGTCCTCCAAGCCTTTTAATCTGCATAAAACTGATTCCTCTGACTATTTGTCAAGATCAGTAGTTAAAAATGAGCTTGAAAAAGTGAATCTAGAACACTTTGATTATAAAGCTGATTCCTCTGACTATTTGTCAAGAACAGTAGTTAATCATAAGCTTGAAAAAGTAAATGCAGAACACTTATGGTCATAAAGCTGATTCCTCTGACTATTTGTCAAGAACAGTAGTTAATCATAAACTTGAAAAAGTAAATGCAGAACACTTATGGTCATACAGCTGATTCCTCTGACTATTTGTCAAGATCAGTAATTACTAACAAGCTTGAAAAAGTGAATATAGAACACTTTAATTGTAAAAGCTGATTTCTCTGACTGTTTGTCAAAATCAGTAGATACTAATAAGCTTGAAAAGTAAATGTTTAACTTTTCTGGTCATAGAGCCAATTTTTCTGACTCTGTCAATATCAGTGGTTAGTTAATGATAAGTTTGAAAAAGTGAATGCATAACACTTTGGTGATGAAACTGATTCCTTTGACAGTTTGCCAAGATTGCTGGTTAATAAATCTGATAAAGCAAAATCAGATGACCAACCAATCCAAGAAAGTAGCTAACTGTTAACCCACAAACTTATCAAACTATATAATGAATGATTATAGTAAATCTGTGGTTAAAACAAATCTGCCAAAAGATATTCATTCAGTTTCCACTATAATCACGATTCCCAAAGTAGTTAAATTAAAATCCTCCAGTGAATTGCATCCAATAAATTTGTTTTGCACTATTGACAAAATTTTGGAGAAAATGGTGTATATGCAACTTGTTGAGTTTATAGGTAAATAGAAATAAACTATTCAGTGATTTTCAATCAGGGTTTCGAGTAAGTGAATATTAATAGTTAATAGTGATCATGAGAAAGTGAATGTAAAACACTTTGATGATAAAGCTGTTTCCTCTGATTGTTTGTCAAGATCAGTAGTTATTAATAAACTGAACTGAACTGAAAAAGTGTCAAAAATGAATGTAACGCTTTGGTAATTAGCCTATCCAAAACACGTGACTTTGACAAGCAAACAAAGGGTTTGTGTGCCTCTTGGCGGATATTTTAATTTGAGTTCGACAGCATCTTGGATAGTCTAATAAAACCTTTCCCCTGAAAGTGGCAATTTGTCAAGATCGGTGGTTTGGTTAATAAATCTGATATAGCTAAATCAGATGAGTAACAATCCAGGAAAGTAGGTAAATGTTAACCCTAATAAACTCATTAAACTAAATAATGAGTATAGTAAATCTGTGATTGAAACAGATCTGCCAAATGATATTGATTCACTCATTATTAGTAAATAAAACGTGGTCGTTAGTATCAAGACCCGAATATAAAAATATAGTGGATTGTAAATGGATATTTTCCATTGAAAATTATGAAATTGGAAAACCATTTAGATACAAAGCTTACTTTTGCTGGTGGTTTTAGTCAACATTACTTGGTAGATTTAAATAAAATTTTTGCACAGCTGGCGAGAATTGTAGGTTTCTGGTTTATAATAACCTTTTTAATCAGTTTACCTTTTTAATACATCATATGGATGTAAAAACAGCTTTCCTGGATGGGACATTGAAGGAAGCCATTTTTATGAAGGTTCCTGAAGGCTGAAGGGTGGCTGGCTCAAGGTGTGACAAGTAAACCTCCTAACCAAGTTTGCAAGGCTATGTCTATGAACTAAAACAAACCACTAGATGTTAGTTTGAAATAATAGTAAAAGTTCATAAAGAAAATGGGTTTGAAAATTCATCAGTTAACCACTGTATTTATATCTTAGACAAAAGTGCAATATGTAAAATTATTTATGTAGTTCTGTAGATGGTATTTGCCACTGCAGATAATAATATATTGAATAGTTTCAAAAGGTATTTGGCAAATAACTGTTCTATGTTTTATTTGGAAGACAGTAAACTATTTTTGGGTAATAAAATTAAAAGGTAATCAAAAATAAAATTACTCTTGATCAATTTTCATATAGGTACATTTCAAATGTACATGAAAATTATTTTACATAAATTTAATATGAATGACTATTGTGCCATCAGCTATGTCAGCACTCCACTTCCTAGTAAACTGAATTTGATTGGTTTTAATTCAGAAGATAAACATGATAGCCCTTGCCATAATCCAATCGTCTGTTAAATGTATATTATGTTATGTATATCAAGCCTGATTTAAGTAGCGCTGTTAATATTTTGAGCAGGTATTAAAACAAAAATAATAAAAGCTTTAGCAATATTTGAAAAGGGTCGTTAGATATCTTAAGGGTAAAATCAATGTGAAGTTGATACAATATTTTACTTGTGAATATATCAATTTCTTGAGTGATTTTATTAATCCTGACTAGGAAGGTGGAGATGATAATATAAACAATATAAAAGCACAACAAGATATTTATGTAAACTGTTTGAAATTTCTGTGATATGTTGGCAGTTGTCAGTAACAGCATCATCTACTGAAGCCGAATATGTGGTTTTTCTTTTTAAAGAGGCTCTTTAGCTAAAATCATTAGCAGAAAATATGCATAAATATTAATATCAGAGTCAATTATGACCTAGGAGGACAACAATGGACCTCAATAAGTATTATAAATAATCCAACAAATCACAAAAGATCAAATCATATTGAATTGATCGTAATTATTATAAAATATTAATTTGTCCACAGATAAACCACTAGCAGACATGTTTACCAAACCATTGATGCAAGTGAAATTTGAGAAATTAGAATGGAATTAGGGTTAGTAAATAAGTTGAATGGTTTGATTAGGTTTTTCAGGGTTTTCCCTAATCCCGAGCAGCAAATGCTGAACCGTAATTGTGCCTGAGAAAAGCAGACGCCAGTAAGGTCGGGAAGTACTATTTCAGTGATCGAGAAGGGTTGCAGAACTCTAAATACATAGTCTGGTGTTTCTCGCACAAAATCAATAAATTAATTTATCGTGGTACAAAATTGCCTGAGTGTTAATCCTTCGGTTAAGCCTCTGGAGAATTATTCCAGACTCTTACTCACAGTTCTCTGACTTCTATGTATATTAGCTATATTTTTCTTTGAAGTCTTCAATCAAGTGCCTGCTCTAGCGACAAGTTTGTTCTGGTCTCTACAAGACAAGTAAAGTGTGGTTTTCTCTGCAATCCCGGATTTTTTGACCTTTATACCTTTTGTGAATTGCAGAGTTTGTACAAAATTTATTATTATTGAAGTTATTATTATTATAATATAAATAAATTTTATTCTACTTAAAAATAAAAAAAATCTAAAGCATTCAAATTATAACGTGCATTTTGCGCCACCCTGTAGGTACTACTTTGCTTATCTTAAGCGTAAACAAGCAACCGCGAATTAGTTGTTTCATGCTGCAAGTGCATTTCGTCATGCATAATATGTTAGCATTAATTTCAGTCGCCACTTAAAAACGTTCGGTTTACGGTAACACTGCTCTGCCTGCAGCAAGTAATAAACAGATTTACGCATAGTCGGGTCAAAGTTTTTTATTTTTTTCGTTTCACCTACCTATAATGATGAATGATCTCAGTGATGCCTTCGCGAAAAAGGTTTGTGAAGAACGTGGTATGGAAGCACATAACATTAACGCTAAAAATGCCCTCCATTTCGCTCTCAAAATAACTCACAAGCCAGTTTTTATAGCTCTATTAGACGCCGGTGCAAATGTAAACGATGTCTTCGAAGGCGAAACTCCTTTACATATAGCAGTTCAAAGAAATTTCCTCGAAGCAGTAGCTCTCCTATTGGAAAAAGGCGCTGACAGTAACAAGACTGCTTCTATTTATTTCTCTGCTGAAAAACTATTTAGTGGGTGGTTAAATAGCAATGCACAGCCTGATATGGATTATACCGGAGACTGGAACATACATGGCTACACTCCCTTACATTTTGCAGCATCCCGGAACAATATCGAAATTGTTAAACTGTTGCTAAAATTTAAAGCCAACGTTCATATTGTGGATAAAGATGGATGGACACCCCTGCATTTGGCTTCAGATCTTGGCCACAAGGATGTGGTCAAATTATTATTAGATCACAATGCCAATGTTAATGCCAGATGCAATCGAAAAATTGTAATAAATGCTGACAATCCTAGAGGTACAAATTATTCGGGCAGAACCAGCTTGCATTTAGCAGCCCTCTGTAATAGAAAGGATATCATCGACATATTATTGAATAAGGGTGCAGATATTGATGCTCCAGATTATAGATCTTGGACTGCTTTGCATATCGCTTGCTATTATGGATATTTTGAAATAGCTCAACTACTACTTGATAGAGGTGCCAATATGGAAGCTGAGGGGCACGAACGGTGGAGGCCTCTTCACGAGGCATGTTCCCAAGGAAACACAGAAATCGTAAAATTGTTAGTTGGCCGAGGTGCCGATATTGAAGCGACTAAAACTTGGGGCGATACTCCTTTACATTGGGCTATTTGGCATGGTCATCTGGAGACTGTTAAGGCTCTAGTGGAGCTCGGAGCTGATATTTTTGTGGAGGACGATAAAGGACATGCGGCCATTAGGAAGGCACAGATGAAAGATTATCCAGATATAATTGCATACTTGTTGGAACTATGTTGGTCTAAAAATTCACTTGAAAATCACATAATATGTATGAATCATTTTTAATTGATATATTGTTTATACACTATGTATACACTTTGGAATAATTCAAATTATGATAATGTAACAAAAATAAAGGATTTTAGTTTTAACCAGCAAATGTTGATGTTGTAAGCCTCTACATTTTTTTCAATTGCATTGACAACAATAGATGATGGTCACGTAAAATAGCGAAAAATGTTAAAGGCTTGCACAAAATTTGATTTTATTTTTTCAGCACGATATTACAGCTAAGAAACTAACATTTGTTTATCATAATTTCAATAAATTTAGCATCAATACTGATAGATGTAGCTTAGCTTTTCCAAATAATGAAAAATAATATTTCATATCTGCAAGTTTTAATCATGTTGTTATGATATTTTAGAAACATTCAACAAATTTATAAATAGTCTCGTACGTGACTAAATCGAAAATATATAGCGCTTTCTTGTGGATTTTTTCGCAGATTTTATGAACACTGATTTCAGGCAGTCAGGTGCCTATTTGAAAGCACTTACCTACTTTGTAAGTTTTGTTTTATTTTATACAGGTCTACTTACATATTTTTTTTTTGGTTTTTGAACTTTCATCGTTCACAATACGTCACTTCTGGTTCATCCGATGTGTAGGTATGTTTTTGACTATTTTGCTTAAATTTGTTTACATTAATCTTCAGTACGCCCTAATATCACTATCGTCTTTTTTAATTACCTATAACTTTCCTGGAATGGGATTAGATTTCGGTCCTAATTACTCCTAATTCTTTTTTTATCTATTTGTTGTTTTCATTTTAAATGGTTTAAATACGTGATCTTTTTCCAGAAAAAAAAAACAATTTTGAATAGATAATCAATCTGCAATTTCTCAATTCAATAGGTACCTACATAAATAAATTTTGTATGGAAAACTTTATTGATTGACTACCACATTAGCAATGTAGATTGTCACTAATGTCTAGACACATTTTATTTCTTCCGAAAAATTGAAGTATTAATGAAGTGCTATTCCAATGATTCTTCATAGAACGATAATGAAATGATATTAACCTGACAGATATTTAGTTTAGTGATCATGTATAAATTTTTTCTCACTCAGATGCAAAAAAAAACATGTAAAATTTCTATTAAATCACTTTCAAAAGCTTTCGAAAAATACTTCAAGCAATCCAGAGGGACTTCAAACATTCAGGATTTATTAACCTTTATGCTACCAAGCTTCTGAACGAACGCGGAGTACCAAGGAGGTACAAATTGTATCCCTTGTTTTTTTGTTAAGTTTGGAGGGATAAAAAATAAACAAAATATTCGTGGAAATTTTCTTAAAAATAATGTTATTTTTTTACAACATCGCACATGTTGCAATAATTGATTTGTCTTTGATGGTCATGATCTTTACGGAAATGGCCATTTCTAAGGAGCACAAATCTACACAAACCGTACAATACAACGATTAGTGTGCCAACCTCTACTCGTGGTAATAATACACTTTAACACAAAAACAGTTTATTAATAATTATTAATATAAATATCCAAAACTAACAATTTCTTAATCAATAACAATAATATCGTACCGCGTCTTCAGTATGTGTCGGTACAACCTCTACTGCCACACTAGTCTAGGAAAATTGTCGATTTTCAACAAAAAAAAATCCTACCCAAAAGAACTTTTCAGGGATGATAGGGGGAGGGTGGGTGATCATAAAACCGAAAATATCAAACATTCACCCCTCTGGCGTTTTGCGCTATAGGGGTTGAAAGTGTGCCATTGGCGATTACTTGGTACCTATTGATTTTACAAAAAAATGTTTCAAATAAAAGATGTGCAACATTATTTGATCTACAATGTTTATCTGAAGATTTTTTTGATTAAGGGCCGTCTGTGGTCATAAGGGCCGTTTGAAATTTTTTAATGAGAATGAAAAATTTTAACCAACGTGAAAAAATTTTCTACAACTCATACAACATATTTGCTTTATGAAGTTTTTACTCACCCCCTGCCGTTTTTCAATAGGGGTAGTTTAAAGTTTTTTTATTTTTTTACAAAAAAATTTTCTTAATAAAAGTTTTATAAGATGACATTTTCTACAATTTTTCCTAATCAACTTTTTTTGTACCCCCATTCAGCGGGGGGACACTTCCCTCGGGGAAATTTTAGTTTTTAGGGGTATATATTAATTTATTTTTTCTTTTCTCGCCTTTAGTGCATATAAAAAGGTGCAATTATCGCGGACTTATCTTGTCTCTATTAAATTGTTTTACAAAGATTGGATCTTGTAATTCTGGTTCAGGTTCACGATTTTTATTACGTGATTCTAAAGACTTTGTTTGTTTCGCCATTAATTTTTCTTGAATTTCTATATTCAAATTCGCAATCGATTCTGCCAAACTTGTTATATAAATAGTTAGTTGTTAGTTTATTTTCCGTTTGTTCAATTGGTATGGCATAATTCAAATCTCCTTTAATTACTTGAAATGGGGTGTGATTTATTGTACTATGAGTACTGTTGTTATAATTCAATATAGCGATTGTCATTAGATCAATAATATTCTTATTCGGGTTTTGGAGTTTCAAACTTGTTATACTTTCACGTAGTGTCGAATGGAATCTTTCGATTGGACTATTCGAGTTCGGGTTTCTTGGAGTTGTGTAATGAAACTCAATTTTGTGTAATGTACAAAGATCTGTCATTATAGCATTTTTGAACTCTGCTCCATTATCTGATACGATTTTTTGAGGTATTCCATGATCACTATAATATTTCAATAACTGTGATAATATCTCAACAGCTGTTTTCGTATTTACAGGAGAGGCTTGACCAAATTTTGAAAAGCTATGGTCAGAAATTTCTGGTTATTGATTATATACGTGTCAATATAAATATGTTCAAAGGGTTTCATACCAATGGGTGTTGGTTTAAATATGATTTTGTATGGTTGACGTTCATACTTGGTTTTATTGCATATCTCGCATACTTTGACATAATTCTGTACGTCTTTCTCGATATTGGGCCAATAGAATCTTTTCTTTAGGGCTGCAATATTTTCAGTGATTCCTCTATGAGAGGTTTCAGTCTCATGATATTGCTGAATTTTCTCTTGTTGAAGATCAACTTCTGTGATGTCTTTTAATAAGGAGTTCGAGATGTACAAAGTAAATGAATTCGAATTAAACAATTCTTGTAATGCTCGTATCACAATAGGTTCTAAAGATTTATTTAGGAAATGAAGGCAATAAATACCAGATGGCATGTATTCCTTTACTAAATTAGTAATTTGTGATGTTGTTGGATTCTCCTATTTCTATGGGAATTTCTTTTTTCTCTTTTCTTGGAGGTATTATTAGTTGTGATAATATCTTTATTTTGGGTTTTTTTTTCTTAGGTTCCTCTTCAGGTTCCTTTTCTGATGCTGTCTTTGTTGATTGAGATGATTCAGACATTGTTATCTCTTTTCCTTTAGCTATCTCGCTTTATTTAGGAAGATATACTTTAGAATCTGTAAAGTATTTTGCTATGATTTCATCATTACATAATGGTGTGTCTTTCAGCATTAATCCTATTTTTTTATGAAATTCTTCATCTGAAGATGTTAATCTAGCATATGGATCTGATTTTTGAATGGCATGAAGTTGTATTGCAGGAATTCTTGGTAGTGCGTCTGCATTCATGTTTAATGTTCCTTTTTTGTATTTGATCTCATAATCAAATTCAGATAGTTTTAGTCGCCATCTGACTGATTTCGAACTTAGTTCTTTAACATTAAATAGCCATAGTAGAGGTTTGTGATCTGACAAGATTGTGAATTTTCTACCAAAAAGATAAGGTCGAAAATATGTACATATTTTGTTGCCCATACGATTCCTAAAAGTTCTTTTTCAATCGTCGAATAATTACATTCAGCTGGGTTTAATGTTCTTGATGCGTATGCAATGGGAAGATCAGCTCCGACAGGACCTTGAGATAAAACGGCTCCAATTGCATAGTTTGAGGCATCGGTTGTCAATAAGAAAGGTTTCTTAAAGTCAAGATGTTGTAATATTGGGTCATTTCATTTATTAATACATTTTTACAAGTTTCAAAGCTATTAAAAAATTCTGCATTGTGTATTATTTTTTTGTCTTTTTTCAAACAAGATGTCATTGGTTTGGTCAATTTGGCAAAATTCTTTATGAATTTTCGGTAATAACCTACTAATCCTAAAAATGATTTTATTTCCTTCACCGTCTTTGGTATTGGGAATTTTTTTCTGGCCATTATCTTTTTTGAATTCGGTTTTATTCCATTTTGGTGTAATTACGTGTCCTAAGAATTCGACTGTCTTGTGTAGGAATTCTGATTTGTCTAATTGGTATTTTTAAATTAAACTTATCGAGTTTCTCAAATACTTTCTTTAAATTTTTCACATGTTCATGAAATGAAGAGGAAAAAATTATTATATCATCCATGTATACTAGACATATTCTATTCTGTAATCCTAGTAATACATTATCCATCACTCTCTGGAATGTCGCGGGGGCGTTTTTCAAACCAAAGGGCATTCTGTTTAATTCATAATGACTATTTTCAACATTAACAGCTGTTTTGGTTATCGAATTTTCATGCATCTCGACTTGATGAAAGCCAAAGGCTAGATCTAGTGTCGTAAAATAATTACTACGAACAAGTCGATCTAATATATCCGTAATATTAGGTAATATATATCTATCATCAATAGTTTTTTCGTTTATCTTTCGATAATCAACGACCATTCTCCATTTTTGTATGCCTGCGGCATCTACTTTCTTAGGTACTATCCACACAGAGGATGACCAAGGGCTACAGGATGGTCTGATTATGTTATCTTCTAACATTTTCTTTATTTGAGAATTTACTTCTTGTTTATGCACATGTGGGTATCTATACGTTTTCGTGTGCACTGGTATTTCATCTGTTATTTTAATCTCATGTTTGACTTGATTAGTAAATGTAAATTTTCCATTTCGCTTGTGGAAAATTTTAGGAAAAGATTTAATTACGTGTTTTAAAGCATCAAATTCCTCTGAGTTCAAATGATTAATTCGGAGCGACCTAATAGGGTCATTTGCATATTCATCATTTTCTAATAAAGTCATTTGCTCTATATTAAATATCTC